TTCAAGAATGACTTAGTCTCTAAAGTCCTAACTATGTAAAGTCCACTGTGATCAGGGTACTAAATGAAAAGTAATAATAATGATATTTGTAGGCCAGACACTGTTGAAGTGCTTTATGAAGAATACTCTTATTGAATCCTCACAGCAACCAAATGAGGTAGTATATTATTTTCCTCAGTGTTTATAACAGGAAACGGAGGCACATAAAGTTATGTAACTTGCTCAGGTACTGTATGAATGATAAAAACAATGATTCCCTAGCCACATTGATCTGTGCAGTGAACTAGTCTAGTTTATGCTTTTTTCCTAGAAGTAAGTTAGTTGCTTTTTGGTAAATATTGTGAACATTTATAAAAGAAGTCAATACTGACTTATCTAGGGCTGTTGTTCCTTTGTGGAGCCAGTAAAGTTAATGAAAACGTTGGTCTCTCTCTCTTGTCTGAGACCACAGCCAGGATTCTTTGCCAGTCAGTAAGATGTTACAGTCCCTTAAAGTTTTTACTACTTGACCATGTTATATTTTAAAGCATATTCCATTCCTAGGAATTTGTCCTACAGTTGTATAAGTGCACAAAGATACATGCACAAAAATGTTTATGGTATTGTTGAAAACTGGAGAAATCTAAAAGTCCATCAGTAGACGATTAGTTAATTTGTGATAGGTACATCCATAAAATGGAATTATATATTAAAAAAAAAAATGAGAGGGGCCGGCCCGGTGGATCCGCCTTGGCCGTACAGCAGGATGGAGTATTGTCTTAAATCTGCCAGAGGATACTCACCAGAGTATTTTTAAATGCTCTTTTCTCCTTGAACTCTCTCGTCCCCTCAGAGTGTTTTGTTTGTAAATTTGGCACTTTTCTTCCAGTTTATAGGCTTTCTTCAGTTGCTTGTTGATCTTTGGTACCCTGTTCATATTAACAGAGGAAGCAAATAAATAGTGGTGTGTTGAACTTGCAGAGGTAAAGAACAGACCTCGAGTTGAGTTGCTGGGGGATGGGTTGGGGAGAAGTTGGGTAGGGGACAGGGGGAATAATTGCAATTTGAGGTGGTGGGCATGCTGATAGCATTGATTTGCTCACCACATCTTGGGCACAAATGCTGACGGTCAGCTCTTGCTCCATGAATATGTATAATCAATAAAAATAAAAAATAAAAAAAAATGAGGCAATAGAAAAACTAACTAATATTATATGAAAAAAGCATATACAATATGGCCCTATTTGTGTAAAATGCGTGTATTACGTGTATGCTTGTGCGTTTCTGTACATGTAGGGAAAGATTGGAAGAACATATGAAAGAAATTGTTACTTCTCATGGGAACTGTAGGAACTTTAATTCTACATCCTTAAGTACCATTTTATTTATTTTACCATGAGCATATAAATTTTTAATGTGAAGAAAATAAAAATAGTTTTCAGTAGCTATCAGTAGTATACCAACAACTGCTAACTGGATGTGGGTTTCCTAGGTGAGTTAGAAATGTAAAGGAAGAAGTCTGAGAATCTGTAGCCTAACAAGTGCTTCAAGTGATCCTGATGGTCAGGGACCTGTACTAGAGAAAGAGTGAGCATGCACACATATGCATAGTTAAGATTAAGAGGAAATTATCGTAGAGAAGAAATTATAAGAATGAGACTCCTTTAAATGACACTGAAATAATACATTTCAAAATTTGGAGGTCATAAATGATTCTCTAGGAAACTATCCACTGTTTTAGAGGTAGAAAACCTAGTTTATTTAAAATAACATGAAAGAAACTGGGACAGATATCAGCTGTTACCCAGCCCATATCATAGGTGAATTCTTTCAAATCTTCATGAAACATATAATTCCAACCTATTTAAACTATTTCAGAGCAGAGAGAAAAAAGTAAAGCTTGCTAGTTCTGTTTACAAAGCCATCATAACACCAGTAACAAAATCTGACAAAAATTGTATTTTTCTAAAAAGCTTGTTTTAAGATTGTGGTTAAATTCTTATAAATATTATTTGAAGAAGTAATACACTGGGACTGAATGGAATTCATTCCAGGAATCAAAGGATTGTTTGATAGTAGGAAATCTATTAATATTCTTATTAATATTAATAGACCAAAGAGAAAAATTATAATCTTCTCATTTTCTGCTCAAAAAGCACATGATAGAATTAACATCTACTTGTGGTTTTAAAAAATATAAAAACAAAAATAAAACTCTTAGAAGAGTGGAACTAGCTGAATAGTTTCCTAACAAAGGTGTTGCAGAGTGTTAGCCAATATCATGCTTAATGATAAAACTCTAGAAATGATCTTGTTAAAGTTTGGAACAAGACTATAAATTGCCATCCCAAATAAAATCTCAGCTTATTCTGACAAATGGTTCTAAAGATTATTTGGAAGAATAAGTATATGCGAATAGTCCAGAAAATTCTAAACAAGGAAAAAAAAATTGAAGGCTGGACTAATCAGGTATTTAAATGTTATAGAGCTAAAGTGATTAAAACAGTATGTTACATGCCCAGGAATAGCTATACAGAACTGCATAACATAATATTTACGTGGCGTTTCAAGTTATTGGAGAAAAGATGAGTTTTTCAGTAAATAGTTAACTATTGAAGAGGATTGAGAGAATTCCCAACTTGCTTTTCATTCCAAAATAATTTCAGTTTCGCCAGACTTTTCAATATTAATAGTACAGATTCTATAAGAAAACATTTATCAGCACCGCACTCTACCGAGTGAGCCACAGGCCGGCCCTATAAGAAAACATTTATAAAGACCTTTCTAAATAAGGCAAACCCGTAAGCCATAAAGAGAGAAAAATGATGAATTTGTATAAAAATAGTAAAATTCTGAACTACCAAAACAGCTTTTTTGAAAAACAGATAAACTGGGAGACAGTATGTGCTGTATGATCTGGCTTCTGCCTAAGTCTTCAGCTTCATCTGCTGCTACTCCACCACCCCCACTCCCACCCCATACAAACAAAGCCACACTCTCTGACTGGGCATTTCCTTCCTGTTGGAGGCACATAGAGTAGGTTCAGTGTCTGACACATAATTGGTGCTCAGTTAAAAGTTATTAAATGAATGAATTCCATGACAGTTTGGAAATCAACATTCATAACATAATAAAACTTCTTAAAATGAATAAAGAAGACTAACAAACAGTCCATTTTAAAGTCAGTAAGGACAAGTTTGATAATTCACAAGAAAAGAAATGCCATTGGCTAGGAAACGTAAAACTTTTAATCAATACAAATAAAAATAGCAGTGAGATTCTGGCTCCTTTCTTGAACACTACCTCCTTGTTTCTGATCTTTCCCTGGATATCTCCCCTGAATGTTCAGAGGCACCTGAAACTTAAGGATAAGTTGTATATAAAGTACTGTGTTCTCCTTTTGGGCCTTCCTTTATTTACCTGGCTTATTTTAGATGCTTTGTTTTAGAAACAGAAGTATCCAAGATGTGCATTGATTCCCTAAGAGGTGTCAGATGGGCAGGAAAGGGTTATAGATAAAGGACAATAGACACAATAAAAAATGCCTACATGGTCTGCAAGTCTGTGTGGCCTTCCTTGTTAATTCTCACCTTCCTTTTCCTCATAGTTTCCTTAATGGTGTTAACCAGCCTCTTTATCTTCTTTGCCCTGTTAAATTTCCTCAGAAGCACATGTCCCTTAGTGGCAGAAATAGAAACTTCTTCCAGTGCTCATCAATCAGCAAAAGTGACTTCTTTTTTTGTGCATGTAAACAAATGGTTGTTGTTGTGATACATTGCTTAACCATTGATAGGTGCTTTTTTGCAGTTCTGTAAATACTTTTCTTCAGACTTAATACAACATCTCAAGTATCTTATCTTCGAGTGTTTTGGGAAATAGAAAATAGACTAAATATGCTCCTTTTCTACAAGAATTTATATTATTTGAGAAGATGCGACAAGGATACGTAGTGTTTACCTTGTTTTATTTAAGATATATTTATGATATCTTATAGTAGAAATCTACTCCAGCTTTTGGAGTTACAATTTAACCTCCTAGCCTGAAATCCTCTTTTTCGAGTCTGATATTTACTTGTAGTATCCAGTCTGGAAATTCTTGTTGAATTACCAGAATGATCAGTGTAGATCCTTGAAAGCTTTCATGCTTTAAAAAAATGGGGGTGGGGGGCAAACAAAAATCTCTGTACTTTTAAAGAAAAGTAGTGTAGCCACATTAAGTGCAATTTGGAAAATAAGAGGAAAAAGAAATCCTTCTCTTAATCTCATCTAACAAAATAGCTGATAGAATTTTGATACAGTTTCCAAGTTTGCGTTTATGTGGTTGAAATTATGTATGTTGCTTTTTTTTTCCCACTTAATATGTCATTAGCATTTTCCATTGTGGTTATATCATTTTATGACTATTACTTTAAATGGCTGCATAATCTATTTGTTACATGGCCCTTTTATATGAACAGTGCTTATGAAGAAGAGTGGATGGTACATAGTTTCTAAAAAACTATGACTCAAGAAAAAACAGTTATTTTTTTTTTTTTCTCCCTTTTTGTCTCTTTTTTACTGACCGGTAATGGGATCGCAACCCTCGGTGTCGCGCCCGTACCGGGGACTGGCAACGGGATCGCAACCCTCAGTGTTGCGCCAGCACCGCGCTCAGCCAGTGAGCGGGAACCGGTCTCCACATGGGATCCGAACCCTCGGCGGGAGCGCCTCCGCACTCCCAAGCTGCGTACTCTCCAGTGCGCCACTGGGCCGGCCCAAAACAGTTATTCTAATAATATAAAATTGCTCATCACATGGATTTTGATAAATAGAATGACACCATTCTTATTATAAAGTTAAATCATTTTTGTTTTCAAACATATGAACCTGAAAGTTGAGGAAGTCGGCTGCCAGTTGAGAGTATTATACTGTATATTAGATTTATATTTTGGAGAAGTTACAAACAAGTTGGATACCTGCTTATTTTGAATGGAGATTTTTTTTTGTCATATGTCTCAATGTTAACATTGTGTTCTTTTATAGATTATGGAGCTTTGTGGTGCAAAAAGACTTGGTTATTTTGGAAGAAGTCAGTTCTACATTGCTTTGAAACTTGTAGCTGTTGCCCAGTCTGGTTTCCCTTTAAGAGTGGAAAGTATAAACACAGGTAAGTATGGAATATACTAGTAACTGAAATGAAAATAGTCTTCTAATTATAAATGATATGAAGTCAATAGAATTTTTGAGTCTTTCTGATATTATAGTGGCATTTTTGACCTTGAGTAAAGTGTCATGATTTTATTCCCACTACCTTGCATTTCTCATTTGAGAATATTAAAAGTCTATCATATCATTATGGCATAAAATATGTAGTACATAAATATTTGATGATAAACGTATATACTGGGCAAATGGCAATATTTCAGAATTAATTCACTAAAAATTGCTTAGAAAGAATTTAGGTGAATAATTTTATCAAGGTAAATGAATTGTAGTGATCATCTTCACGCATAGCTTCCCTATTTTCTTCTTTTTTTTAAATACAAGACAAACAACATTATACTTTGTGGGGGTTTTTTGTTTGTTTGGGAGGGCTGTGGAGGCTCCGTTTGAAAATAGAAAGTATCAGTTAACCAAAACTTTCTGATTGATAGAGACAGTAATAGAATTTTTTTTTTCTTTTCCCTTTTTGTCTTTTTTCGTGACCGGTAACGGGATCACAACCCTCGGTGTTGCGCCTGTACCGCGACCGGCAATGGGATCACAACCCTCGGTGTTGCGTCCGCACCGCGCTCAACCAGTGAGCGGACTGGTCTCTATATGGGATCTGAACCCTCGGCGGGTTGTTGTAGAGCTGGCATTTGGTTTTATCTGAGCTGTTTATTTTATCCTGGGAGAGAAACCTTTAAGGATCCAGCTTAAAGTAGCGATAATATATCTTTGGCTGGCCTTGGGCTTAGGCTTTTGCCTTCCTTTCTCTGTGGAGCCACTAAAAGGTTACCTTAGTTTTGCAGCTTTTTCTTTGGAATTGGCAGTAATAGAATTTTGACAGACTAAAATGTAGTTACAGACATTTGACCAACTTACAAATGTCACTTGTGATAATTTGTGTTTCAATTATTTGGGGGCTTGTTGATGTGGAAGAAGATAGAAATTCTACAAAGATAGGCACTTAAATGCATAGGGTTCTGCAGTTTTCATAGAGGAAATGGGAAAGAGAAAATTTCTGTAGTATCAGAAATTTTATAAATAGTTTTAAGTATCATCTCAGTTTATTGGTCAGCTGGAGGTTTTCATTGTAGATCTCTGATTTGCCACACATCGTTCTTCTAGTGTTGAAAGTTTACATTCTTTTCAGGTAATTTTTAGTTATTTTACATACATACCGAATAAGCTTTGTAGTTTCCTTCTTTCATATAGAAGTTCGAAAGAGAAAAGGTAGTCATGTAATGGAGGGGGAAGTACACTTTCCTCTGAAAAGGATTCTGCAGCTATAATGTTGTAGTCTGAAAGTATGAGTTATGATTGACCTGCAGAGAAGTTCTGTCTTTCATCTTTCTCCTATATTTTTAAAAATTGAATGTAGACTATCTGGCTGTAGGAGAGTCATAAGCCACACTAAAGTGGATAGGTAGAACACCCTGTACCATGCCCTTGGTAGGTGAACAATAAGGAATTTTCAGGAATTTCTGCCATGAAAATGTCTAATTTAGTCTAGCTTTAAATTTAGTGACATATGCTATGTTTTACTTAGAGCTCTAAAATCTCACTTATGAGACCCAGTATGAGTAGAAGCAGCCTAGGCTTTGGGGTCTGATTGACCTGGGTTCAGATCCTGGCTGTCAGTTATTTTCAGTGTGACGTTGATATCTCAGAGCCTTGGTTTCCTTATCTATTTATAGGGGTTTTGCAGGACTGATGTGGTTATGAGATGAAATACTGGGTTAGACATGTAGTGGACATTTGGTATAGCTATTATCACACGTTAGATGGACAGTTTGGTTATACTGCTTCTTTCTAGGTAAGAGTCTCTAAACAATCTAAGGGAGATTATGATTTAAATTTGTAGTGATAGACAATTTGTACCTGTCTATCAGTTTTTGCAAAAATTCCGGTATCTAATTCATTTCTTATTTCAGTTTTTAATATGTATGTCCTTTTTTATTTTTAAGTAATAGTTTTTTTTGTGATTAACAGTGAAGGATCTTCCTCTGCCAAGATTTGTTGCTTCAAAGAATGAACAGGAGTCTCGCCATGCAGCCTCATATTCTTCAGATTCTGAAAATCAAGGGTCTTATTCTGGTGTGATTCCCCCACCACCTGGCAGGGGGCAAGTGAAAAAGGGGTCCTTAAGCCATGATACGGTTCAGCCTCGTACATCTGCAGATCCACAGGTAATCATATGCATGTAATTGTTATCAGTTGATGTCCTATGTGGATGCTTACACTAAAGAATTTATTGGTACCTTCATAATTAAAATGTCTCTTTAAAATTAAAATTTCTAAATAATATTCTTTCTAGGAACCTGTATCCCCAGTAGTTTCACCACAGCAGTCCCCACCCACTTCTCCACACACGTGGAGGAAGCACAACCGTCATCCCAGTGGGGGGAATAGTGAGAGGCCTCTTGCAGGACCTGGGCCGTTTTGGTCTCCCTTTGGTGAAGCACAATCAGGTATTTAGATATTCTTTAGAATTACAATTGTTTAAGGTTGTAAATTGAAGGAAACTTAATAACATTTTTTTAAGAGAGGCCTCCAAGATGATTTTTAATTGTAAGTTAAATAGAAGCAAAAACCAACTATGAAAATTTGTAAGTAGATATATTGCTTTGAGAAGTGGTAATTGCATTTACTTATATCTATGATGCTTAGACGAAAGTTTATGGATACCAGCATCTCTGAAAGTAAAATGAGTAATTATTTCCCATAATACTAAGTATATGTTATATAAGTTTTAGTATTGACAAGGAAAACACAAAACAATCAAAAAAATTTAAATGAAGTATAATTTTAAGGTGAACAGAAAAGATTCCATTTTGGTAATTGCTACATTTCTTCAAAGTTAGAGTTGAAAAGAAAACATGTGTACGGTAGTTTGTTACAATTTTAAGTAAAAACCTGATTACTTAATTTTTTTCTTCAAATGTGAGTCAGCATGTTTATCTGTTCTCCTTTTAGGTTCTTCTGCTGGTGATGCAGTATGGTCAGGGCATTCTCCACCTCCACCTCAAGAAAACTGGGTCAGTTTTGCAGATACTCCACCAACCAGTACTCTATTAACCATGCATCCTGCTTCTGTCCAGGTGTGACATTTTATTGGTATTGCATTTTTATTTGCTTCATTCAGAGTATTGGTGCAGTCATTGTTTTTATATTTTGCTGTTGCAAATTTTATAAATGCAAGTTCACTCTCTTATTTAAAAAAAATAACAAAAACTCGTGCCTTTTCTTCAAGTCTGTTATCATTGGAAGTTTCACTAAAGATTTTGGCCGATTTTATTTCTGTTTCTAATTCCCTAGCGAAAGAAAGTTTTCTGCATCTGAAAATATATTTGCTTGGCTTTCTTAGCATATTTTTCATAACTTTCTGTTGCTTACATAATTGCTATCATTCTATACGTTTACATAATCATTTTGCAATAACATATTCAATATTGTAACAAATATTTGGTTTGCTGATGACTTCTTACATTTTAAATGTCCACAAAAAGCAAGTTTTACTTTCAAAGATAAGTAACCTAGCAATCTTGGTCCATATAATCATATAGATAGATACTGTACTGAGGAAAAAATGTTTCATTACAGGACCAGACAACAGTACGAACTGTAGCATCAGCTACAACTGCCAATGAAATTCGTAGGCAATCCAGTAGTTATGATGATCCTTGGAAAATAACAGATGAACAAAGACAGTATTATGTAAATCAGTTTAAAACCATTCAGCCTGATCTAAACGGATTTATTCCAGGTGAGTTGTTAAAAACAGAAGTTCTTCTAGATGGGACAGGACAAAGTCTCAATTTCATAATCTCAAAGACATTGTTTTATTGGTCATAAATTTTAATTATAAAAGATAACTAATTCTCAAATTATTTGTCTAAAGAGAGTTTATAATCACTGGGGACCAAAATATGACATATTCATATATTAAGTTTACCTTTTCCCCAGTGAAAAAAGTCTTAAGACTGTTACCTCACATTCTGTTCTTGGATCTGTGAGTTCAAAATAACATTAAACCACATTGTTTTAATATTTCAGGATCTGCAGCTAAAGAGTTTTTTACAAAATCAAAACTTCCTATTCTTGAACTTTCTCATATTTGGTAAGTGTGGTATATATATCATTAGTTGGGTAATGTGAGTTGTTTCAAAGGAGTTTCCAGCAGGTAGATTTTAGAGCCTTAAAAAACAAACTGTTGGAGTAACCACTTCAGGACTGTTCTACAAGAACTCAGTATTGCCTTTCAACAACCAGCTTCTCTCACTGTAGAAAAGAAGTGATACCAGTCCAATATCTCTTTGTAAACTGCTAAAATTCTGTAAGCTATAGTTGTTGTTTCTTGTTGCTAGCAAAATGCATGAAGTAAAAGCTAGTTTGTGCATACATTATGTTTATCCCATTTGATTTTTATCAAGTTTAATAAGTTCTGTACCAAGCCATAAGTTTAACAGTGGTTAGATCACTATTAAACACTTAAACATAGACTAAGCCTCAGGATAGCAGCCATATAGTTGGAACTGGCCATTAGAACACAAATTATAATCACTAATTACTTCTTAAAAATAATTATCAGATAAACATAATTGTTATTTCTACTGTATGTCAATATATTTTTTATATTCTAAATTATTTTGTTAGTAGTTTTTTAGTAGAATAGAGTACTATAGTAGAAGGTAGGTAGATAATGTCTAAAACTGAAAAATCAAGAAGTAACAATATATGCATGCTATTTATGATTTAAGGTGATAAATACAAAAGCAGTTGCCTCTACATGTAGGAAATGGCAGGGACAACAGTGCAGGGTGGCTATATTTTTGTATCAAGCCTTATAGTTCTATTTGATGCTTTGAAGTACATACATGTTGAACTTTGATAACGATAAAGAAAAATTTTTTAAAAATTTCAGTGACTTATTACATACACCTTACTTTAAACCTTGTTACTAAAAATGTATATGGGTTAAAGTTCGTTTTTTTGGTGACCTTAATTATTGGGGCTATTTTTCAAGCATTTTATTATGAGAATTTCAAGCATACAGGAAGCTTAAAGAATTGTACCATGGGCCGGCCCGGTGGCGCACTGCTACAGTGCGCCGCTTGGGAAGCGCGGTAGGCGCTCCCGCTGAGGGTTCGGATCCCACATACTGACCGGTTCCCGCTCACTGGCTGAGCGAGGCGTGGGAGCAACACCGAGGGTTGCGATCCCATTGCTGGTCCCGGTCCGGTACAGGCGCGACACTGAGGGTTGCGATCCGTTGCCGGACACGAAAAAAAGACAAAAAGGAAAAAAAAAAAGAATTGTACCATGAACACCCATATGCCCCCCACCAAGATTCTTTACTTAACATTTTGCTGTATTTGCTTTGTTATACATCTTTACATCCCTGGGATTTTTAAAATTAATGACCTTTTGCACTTTCTCAGGGAAAGTATTTTTCTTTTTTCTTTTTGAGAAATGAGATCCAAAGCAGAATGTGATTATATTCATAGTAAGTTTGTCTTCTAGGGAACTCTCAGACTTTGATAAAGATGGTGCATTGACACTGGATGAGTTTTGTGCTGCTTTTCATCTGGTGGTTGCTAGGAAGAATGGCTATGACTTACCAGAAAAACTCCCTGAAAGCTTAATGCCCAAACTGATTGATTTGGAAGATTCAGCAGGTAAGATTAGGAGCTGAAGAAATCTGGTTGTATGCCATGATAAATAACGCTTGAATCTGAAAGCAAAGACATTTCATCAAGAGCACATACATTTACCATCAGAATAATATGTACAGGCTGAACTTGGATTTGTCTTCTTCAGTTAACTTTTTGGGGGATGGTGGAGGAAGTTCCAGTAAAGACCAGAAAACCTGCTAGACAGATTCAAAACGGGCTGTAACACTTATTCAGTTGACTTTTAAAAATAGGGATAAAGATTTTATGCCACTATTTCTCCTTTACACTTGTTATTTGCTGAGATTTGAAGAGCATTTCACAGTGTCTTGTTATTTTGCCTTCCTTTAATTGCATTATATATATATAGCCTAAAGTGGGTAAAATAACCTATCTTCATTATGAACTTTTTTTAATTTAATGCGTCTTAATTTCTTTTTAAGAGAAATACCTGCTTCATCATTGGACCTTTGCAGTCATGAGCATTTTCCTTTAAAACACCAAGCTATTTTCTGCAGACTCAAAAAATCTGGAATTTGTGTTTTAGATAATGTTATTTTGTTAACAAGAATGCTAAATGTTCATATTTACTGGTAGATTTCTTTAAAAGGAAAAAGAATATGAGGGGTAAAAATTAGTACATTTTTCTTATTTTCTAAGTGAATTAAAGGAATTCTAATGTTAAATTCTTAATGAGCCTAGTTTAAACCAAATGTCTTTAGTTTACCTGTTTAAATTCTCTTTTAGATATGATGATGAAACGAATTTTATACTTTTAAAAGAGAAGTTAAAACAGAATTGGGCTCTCAAAAGGGCATTTATCTATTAGGCAGCATCTCTTTATATGTAGTTTGACTTTATTATCTAAATTATACAAAAGGAATCATATGCATGAAATTACTGTCACAACCAGAACAGTGTCCTTCAAGTAAAGAATCTAAGTGTGCTTCTAGTTTTGCTAATTATGCCTGTGACCTTGGGCAAGTTCTAACCATTTACTCGACTTTTCCTTTCTGTTTCTCCACCTGAAATGTGAATTCAATGCCAATCACATTTCAGGACCTAACTTGTACATTGACCTTTTATCAACCAGTAGGTTGATTTTTAAAATTTAGCGTTGATTCTAATTTTTTGGGAACATTTTCCTTTGAGAATTCTAGGATTTTCTTGGTCATTTCAAGTAGTTATTAAGCATCATAACCTCTAACTTGAACTGAAAGCTAAGTGTTTTTGTTGGGTAGTTTTGCTTCAAAGTACTTTAACTTACCTACGTAAGAAATAAACAAAAAAGCATCCTCTTTGTTTAGTTTATCCGATAGTAGCCAAAAGAAAAAAAATTGTAGTAACTTCAGACTTTTGGTATCATTGATTTAAAAATTGGGCCTCGTACCTAGAGTTTTTATATGACTTCAAGACTTTGGAAACTGATAGCATAGTAGTACAACAAAATCATTTACACCAAGCTTAATCTGTTACATGTCATTTTGTAGGGTCTTGTCTGATTCTGTCATGTGTTGCATTCAGATCCATGAGTCTGGACTTTGCATGTAGTTAGTGGGTCCTTTTTCCTTTATTTAATGTAAATAAAATTAGGTGCTTTCTTTGTAAATTTGATCTGCTGCCTGACTTTTAAGACTGATGATTCAGGAAGAAGTTCTCTTCTGGCCATTTGTCTTTTTGTCATCTCTTAGATCTGTTTGACAGAGAGAGACTCTAATTTTTTGCCTGTGTATATCTGTGCACTACTGTACTTATTATAATTTTAAAGGTATCACAGACTCAGGTAGTTTTTTTTTTTCCCTTTCAAACATAATATATGGATTTCTGATCTAATTTATTGTAAAATTTTGACCATACAGTGTTAGATTCAAATCTACTTTGCTTATTTATAAATGATAACTGTTGGAATTCTGTTAATTTGGCGCTGGGGAAGCCAATATCAATAATCTTTTTTCTTCCACCTCTTATAAACCTGAGATTCATAGGACATAAAGTCCTTTGAATATGAAAATTGTCTGATAACAATGAATTATTCAATATCAGTAAAAGTCGTTATCAATAGCTATGTTTTTAGAAGTTCATAGTTGAGGAGGAAATACCCAAGTAGTGTCTCGTGGTAGATATTAGAATTTATCATAAATATTTCCTCTGTGGAGCATTTTTGACTGCCAGCAGAGGTGGTTTCTCTGTTTGATCTCTCATAGCATCTTCTACATGCTATTTATTATTGAACGTATCACACTGAATCCTTTTTCTTTTTTTTCCCCTCTTTCTACCACTACACTGTGAGCTCCTTGAACAAAGAGAAAGGTATTGTATTTATTGTAGTATCCTCAGGACCTCTCTTTGCCAAGGCATGTACTGAATTTTTCAGTAAATAATTACTGGATAAATTAATGCTAAATGTGTGCCATTTTCAAAGTAAGGTATTTTTTTTGAAATTTTTCTACCTTCAAAAATATATCAATTTGTTATCCTAATTTTGTGACTTTGGGACATAACTGAAATATTTCTTCCACAAGTATTCTAAATTTAACTCTTAGAGGCAAATGGTGAACAGTAACAGTGGTTACTTAGTTACAATTTGTGACTAATTGTTACTTAGTTACAATTTTCGGAGTAATAAGCTAGGCTTTCTACAGACATACAAATATGTGTGGAGTAAATACGGATTTTTTTCCAAAATCATTTGAACAGGTTTACAGGATTAAATACCAGATGAAATAGAACAACTAAGGATGATAGGCAGAAGTATGAATGTTGACCCTAATTAAAATATGTATTATGTGAGAGTACTTCAAACAGTTGGTGGGAAAAAAGAATTAAAAGATATTATGGGGCCGAGCCCGTGGCGCATTCAGGAGGGTGCGGCGCTGGGAGCGTGGTGGCGCTCCCGCCGCGGGTTCGGATCCTATATGGGGATGACCGGTGCGCTCACAGCGCTCACTGGCTGAGAGCAGTGCGGCCGGTCTCAAAAAGGACAAAAAAAGATATTATGAATCTTTCCATGAACTTTTTGAAGTACTCTAGTATAACATTAGCATTGAATTTGGCAGCTAAAGTAAGTGGAAGGGAAAATTGGTTTTTGTTGTCTTACAAAAGAAAGCATATAAAAATTCATTTGTGGAAACAGCTTTCTGAAGCTGAATTCAAGAGAGAATGTTTATCTTTTAAGAATGTTTATCTCTTAAAAGCAAAAAGGATTAAGATGTCTTGCTAGGTTACCACAACACTGTATCTTAAGAAAAAAAAACAAACAGTTGAGATGCTACACCTTAAATTCACTCCTGGAAGAGTCTTTTTTTGTAGCAAAGTTGCAATTTTACATGTATTTTTATGATTTTTTGATACATATCTCCCTGTCAAGCCTCTAGTCAGAGGCTTCTGGGAAGGTAGTAACTAGATTGGTTTTGTTCATTATATCTCAGCACCTACCACAAATTGAGTACAGAAGTAGACATTCACATTTTTGATATAACTAAATGACTTGAGTCAGTGGTTTTTAACTGTTTTCTCTCTCCACACTACACTGCTCACATGGGCAACTCAGCAATATCTGTTTAAGATGCTGAAAGAGGGAGAGGGATGCGCTCCTTATTTCTGTCTCCTCCATAATCACTGCTTTACACAGTAAATTTGGGCATATGTTTCAGAGTTGTTTATAGAGTGCACAGCATAGATCCCTAAACTCTAAGCAGTATCTCCAACATGAATATTTTTAAAAGCCAGGGAAGAAAAGGGACATGAGATTTTCATGAACAGTTTACTAGAAATCCATGTAAATTCAGACTTGAGACTACCTTGATACAAGTTAATCCCTGTTAAGAGCTTCTCTTGCATTTCTATACCTGTATATGTCATATATATGTGAAAGCCTACACATACATACAGTGGTTTTTTTCACAAGTGCAATAACACCATACATCCTTGATTGTTTTTTCTTCTTTTTTTTTTTTTTTTTTTTTTTTTTTTTTTT